GTAGCACTTGCAAATGAAACAAAGTATAAAAAATTTAGATGCTGGAAAAAATACGAAAATATGGGAAAAATTCAGGACGAATTTCAGACAATCTACAAATTAAAAAATTCAGGAACTTAAGCAGTTTTGTCAAGTTTAAAAAATACCTAGGTAAATGAATAACAAATTTCCATAATGTATTAAATAAGTAAGAATTTTTTTTATTGTTGATTAAAAAAAATCCAATATTTTTGAACCCGAAAAATTAAAACAAAAACAAAAACTATATTTATGTTTGGAGGAAATTTTAAAAAAATATTGGTTTTTAACATTTTATAATATCAAAAAAAGAAAAAGAAACTACATATGTAGTACCGAAATCATTAAATTAACTAAAAAATGGAATTTTTTTGAATGAAAAAATAATTTCTTTCTATTTTATTAATGACACTTGCAATAAAATCAAGTTGATTGTTGGTGTTTTTAAGACTTAAATAGAGCTTTTTTTTGTTGTTTGTATTATAATTATTGATTATTACTTTCATAAATCAAGTAGAAATAAAAAAATGCATTTTACTGCAAATAGGCTAAGTCTAGAAGAGATGAGATAACTTGAATCATTAAGACTAACAATTTAATGTAAGACTCCATCTCTCCCTGGTTTACCCTATTGATTTTAGTCACGTAAAAATGTTTGCATTTTTTTTGAAAAGATTTTCAGTTATTTATTACTTTTATAAATCAAGTAGAAATAAAAAAAATGCATTTTACTGCAAGGTAAGTCTAGAAGAGATGAGATAACTTGAATCATTAAGACTAACAATTTATTGGAAGACTCTATCTCTCCCAGATTTACCTTATTGATTTTAGTCACGTAAAAATATTTGCATTTTTTTTTTTTAGATTTTCAGGCTTGTAACCCTGAAAAGTCAAGCCTGAAGGAAATTTCGCCTTGTTCAAAGGCCGATTTCCCGTTGCATGTATATCATTGTCCATAAAAGACAAAGCCATGAATGACCCACATTTGAAGCGCCTTCAATTTTCATAGTTTGATACCAGCACACCGTCTGGTTGGCGCCATCGCGGTTTACGCGTCTGTAATAATCAAAGCGTTACGTTTGTCGATTGATTGGCATTTGAGCGATATTTTTTCATGGTATGACGACAAGTCTTGTGTTGGTGATAATAAAAGTTGATGCGTTGGTAGCTCATATTGTTTCAGTTGTAAAACACCAACAACCAACTCGGAGATGTTGGAATAATCTAAAAAGGCATCGACCTCTAGATATGTATGCGGCTGTTTTCGTAATTCTTTCAGCTTCAAGCAAATGCACTTAACTGTTTACTTTACCTATCTAGCATTAAATTGTTAATAATTAACCGTATATTCCAGTTTATCATTTATTTATGCCACAAATGGGCAAAAGCTAATTATAATTGAAAAATATTCCACATTCCTTGTCGACATTTTTAACCCTAGCGCCTCTAATGAGGCTTATGGGAAGCAAGCAGGTGTAATGAGACGTAGCAGAATTGCCAACGTTTGAAATTGAAAAATTCCCGTGGGAAATTC